ACTAATTTGCCACCTTTTTAGTTCAAGGGCTTGTTACTTGCTATCGAAAAAGTTGAGGGGCTTAAGAAGGGTTTTTGCCTAGGATATTTAGTGAGGTTTGGATTTGGGTATGGATGGGAGGAATTGTCCGAATGGGCTTTTGTTGGGCTTTCATTGGGCACATGGTTCCATTGGTTCATGTGTTAGTGGTCACATGGGTGTATTATTGCTACTCTAATGCCTTTGGGCTTTCATTGGGCTTTTTGGTCAATGTTGGGCTAACTCCCTAACATTACTTGTCCCTCAATGTTTGGTTAGCGAAACACTATAACCATTAACATGGCTCAATATTGGCTTTTCATGAGTTGGCCCCAATGAGCTAAACAACATATTGCGAGCTGATGATGGCGAGCTTATCTCTTTAAGAGGGTTTCAAAATCATTGGAGTTCAATCAAATATTTATGAGCATTATATTGGAAATGTTTCGAAGAACCGAAAGGAAGCATCAACAACCATTTCATTAACAACCACCTCATCCACGAAAACATAGGTGATTATGGATTTCTTTGGAGAGTTGCGAGAAGCTTGGGGGTAACCAGGGGATGTAAAGGAAGGGATAATGTTCGTCTCACCCATTACTATGGTGGTGCCATCGGAGTTGCAAGATAGGCCCAACTTTGACATGCTGCTTGAGCTTGAGAGCAGCCCTAATTCTTTATCCAATAAAATGAAAACTACAAGAGAAGGAGATGAAGAAGAAGGACCCATAGCCACCGAAGGTGTAACGGTAAAAATAGAGGTCACACCTACCTTGGAGGAATGGGAAAAAGGTGCCTCTCCGTGCCAATTTGGCTAGCAACATTCGAGAAATGCCAACAAATTTGGTGGCTGGGTTTAAGTTTAAGGCATCCCTACACCACGAGGTGGTAGATGGTAGAGGTATTGTTAAAGGGCTGAAAAAACTAGATTCTGTGGTGAAGGAATACCAGATTCTTGCCACCATACTACTTCAGGTTGCCTTAGCAAATGAATGGGCCTGCTTAGTGGCTATGAATATTTTAATAAATTGATAAGACAAATTATACTTTTAATATATAATCTATCCCATAAAATATTTTTTTTGGTTAATTAATTTCACATGGGACACTGTTCAAGCTAACATTAAACCTAAAACCATCATTGGTGGGGTGAATTCCTAGAGCACACAGCCAACGCATCATATGCATTTGCTTTATAGTTAAAACATCCAAATCATTCTAAGTATATATAGCAATCTATCAACCCCCAACATAAAAAAAAAAAATTCAAAAAAAAAAAAAAGAATTGATTGATGAGATAGCAAGTCATAACAAAAAGATCTAAAATATATATTAATTAAAGTAAAATCTTACCATGTGATGTCATCTACTTAAAAACTTGTAAAAGAACTTAAACAATGCCCTTAAAATATTACTAATACTAGAGCAAATTTTAAACTTAAAAGTCCTAAACAAAAATGTAAAGATAAACATATTAATCATCAGATTTAGATTCGGAGATAGATACTTCACTAGGTCGCTTTTCTCCGTAACGTTGTTGGTCTTTGGTTTTCCATTTTTCTTCAAAATTCTCAAGATCTTTGATAGTTGTGTTTCGATTTTCCCAATCTTCTTCTCAAGCTTCTCAAGATTGGGCCTTTTTGCTAGATTGCCACTAGCATCCATAGAAAGGTCTTCATTTGATCTTTTGTTTTGGCTTTGTCAAGATCAAGTAGACAAAAGTTCTTTTTCACCTTCTTCTAGGTTATACTTAGTCCATGCTTAAATGCTTACAATCTCCTCACTTAAATGCTTGATGTCTTAATTAGGACCAAGCACAATTAGAATTATGTCCATTGGGCCACATGCATAGGATTCACCTTAGCACTTGATGTCCTGATCAAGCCCAAGTACAATATGTCCCATAATATATATTTTTTTGGTTAATTAATTTCATATAGAACATCATTCAGACTAATGTTAAACCTAAAACCATCCTTGATGGGGGTGAATTCCTAGAGCACATAGCCTATGCATCATATGCATTTGCTTTATAGCTAAAACATCAAAATCATTCCAAGTATATATAGAAATCTATCAACCCCCAACACGCAAAAATGAAAATTCAAAAAAATTAGAATTGATTGATAAGACAACAAGTCATAACAAAAAGATCTAAAATATATATTAATTAAAGTAAAATCTTATCATGTCATGTCATCTACTTAAAAATTTGTAAAAGAACTTAAATAATGCTCTTAAAATATTATTAATACTAGAGCAAATTTTAAACCTAAAAGTCCTAAACAGAAATGAAAAGATAAACAAACTAATCATCAGATTCAGATTGGATACAGATACTTTACCAACTCGCTTTTCTCCATCAACACCGTTGGTCTTTGGCTTTCCATTTTCCTTCAAAATTTTCAAGATCTCCAACAGTTGTGTTTCGATTTTCCCAATTTTCTTCTCTAGCTTCCCAATATTGGGCCTTTTGCCTACATTGCCACTTGCATCCATAGGAAGAAGGTCCTTATTTGATCTTTCATTTTGGCTTTGTCAAGATCAACTAGATGGAAGTTCTCCTTCACTTTCTTCCAGGTCATACTTGGTCAGTGCTTGACAAGAGAATCAAGCGTAGATGCAGTATCTAGGATTGTTCATATCCGATCCAATCTGATCGATCCAACCTAAATTGATGCAATTTAATAAAAAAATTAAACCAAACCAATATAAAATTGGGTTGGTTTGGATTATAAAATTTTTAAACCAACATAATTGGTTTGGTTTGTGATTTTACTTTCAAATTTTTTAAATCGCTTGATTACAAAATAAAATTTGATTATAAGATAATTAAATTAAATACTATAATATATTTTTTAGTAATATTTTAAATTTTTTCCTTATTTTATAAGATGATAAGTCCATTAACTTAATTAAAAAATAAAAATAAAACATCCCCATATTGTCTAATCTATTTTCCTTTCTAAATCGTGCACTCTAACCTTAATTCTAAATTTCTAATTTACTTGCAACTCTATCCCTTACAACTAATCTACAATTCTACTCTTACAACCCTAAATTTTTAATTTGTTCTTAAAATAATATTATAATTCTCCTAACTAAATTTTAAGAAGTATCATTTTAGAAGTCTTAAAACTATATAATAGAATTAATTTTGATATTCTATTATTCTTAAATGTTTGGTTGAGGAGTTTTAAATCTTAATTATAAATGTTTTTAATCATTCCTAATGACATTCATGTTAAATTTTATTTGCTGTTAGTCTTTGGTTTTCCATTTTTCTTCAAAATTCTCAAGATCTTCAACAGATGTGTTTCAATTTTCCCAATCTTCTTCTCAAGCTTCTCAAGATTGGGCCTTTTTGCTAGATTGCCACTAGCATCCACAAGAAGGTCTTCATTTGATCTTTCGTTTTGGCTTTGTCAAGATCAACTAGACAAAAGTTTTCTTTCACCTACTTCTAAGTTATACTTTGTCCATGCTTAACAGGAGAATCAAGTGCAGATGCAATATCCCACCCAAACCCACCTAAAGTCAAGAAGAGGATAGCATTAGGAAGTATTTGCCCTCCTCTTGTAGCCTTCTTTTGTTCTTCACCCTTAGAAAGTATTTCTTAGCTAGTTGCTCATCTAGAGGATTCACCTTCAGAACAGGCGTACCACTCTCAACCATCTTATAAGTGCAAATAGAAGAGATCTTTAGAATCTCTTCATGTTTTGGCCTTGTCTCGACAATTTTCAGTAGTTTGTAAATGGCACCATTGAAATACCTTATCTTCTTAAGGTAGAAAATCAGAAACAAAGGAAGCTCAAGAAAAATAAAGGCGAAATGAGAAGAAATATG